ATATATTTATATATATATATATTATGCTGTAGTTGATACGTGTATGCATGAGTATCTTATATCGACATATATATGCCGGGGCAAAGCGCAAAGCGTTATATGTGTTACTTGTTTTGGCCAAAGCCTTCGACAACATGAAGCACGACGCAATGATCAAAGCTCTGGCGCGGTTTGGTATTCCAGAATCAATGCTCTCACTTATCGCTGCTATATAGAAAACCCGCAACTTCCTGTTGAAAGAAACGGGAGGCGACTCCAGTACCAGGCAGCAGCGAGCAGAAATAGCTCAAGGGTACCCACTTTCCCCATACTTATTCGTTGTTGTTCAAACAGTGGTGGTTTTCGACGTCGACAAGTTGTTCAATGAACTGGGCATGGGCTTTGTGGAGCCAGATTACGTGGCATGTAATGATGTGCTGTGCGCGGGCGACGCCATGCTCGTGAGCGCGAGCTTCCTCAAAGTTCAGCTTCTCTTGGACTCTTGGACCTGACCGTCAAAGTGGGCAAACAACACGGCCTTGATCTGAATTGGAAGAAGACCGTGGTACTGAACGTAAAGAACGACGGTGTGATTCGGGACCCGGCGTTACAGCCAATCCACCATGTACAACAAGCAGTCTATTTGGGTGGGCTCTTGCACTGCAGCGCCGAAAGAAGACCAGAAGTTCCGAGGCGGCTCGGCGAAGCACGGGGGATTTTCAGAGTGCTGACCAAATGCTGGAACCATACGGGCATGGAAGACATGCGAAATATTTCGGCTATTTGACGCTATAGTTGTGCCGAAACTGTTGTGCAATCTGGAACCAATGTGGCTATCGCAAGCAGGCCAGCAACGGTTGGGCAGTTTCCAAGCATCTTGACTTAGAAAAATACAGGGGATCTCCCATCCTTATTATTCCAGGGTGTCGAATGCCACAGTTCTGAGTGCAGCGCGGGCGGACCGTCTGAGCGAGGCGCTGCGCAAGAGGCAGGCGCAGTCCCATGAGAAAATCTGTCCTTTGCCAGACAGCAATTATTTGAAATCTCTGGTATGCCAGCCTGGAACACATGCACCGAAGCAGTGGCATCTGGTCCGGAGACGCGGCCGCCCCAAGCTGAAATGTGCACGCTGCGTGTACAGGCTACTGCAGCGAGGCTTAGAGTCGGCAGTCCATATTCCCCCTCGCCGTCGTCGTCCTCCTGCTTCCCCCCCCCCCTCTTGCCAATCGCGCACTCTTCTGCCCGCGCGCCCCACCGGGAACCCGGCTCAGTGGCGGCAGTGGTGCCCAGGCGCCGTGCCAAGGGCTGGCGCATGGCTTCTGTACTTGCACTTGTATCACGGGGCAACCATCGGGACGAGCATCGGGGCACCGTCGGGATACCATCTGGACTCCATCGGGGAACCATCGGTGCACAATAGGGGGCGCCATCGGGACACCATCGGGACACCATGGAACGCCATGAACACACAATCGGGACACCATCGGGGCACCATCGGGACACCATCGGAGCATCATCGGGACAAGATCGGAAAACCATTGGGACACCATCGGGATACCATCGGGGCACCATCGGGACACCATCGGGACGCCATCGGGACACCTCGGGGCCGCCGCCGGCCAGCCGGGGGGAGGGCACAGCATCAGTTGGCCCGGTTTCGCTGTAGCAGAGGCTGGTTTGCTCCTTTCGCCCGCGCACGCAGCTTCGCCTCGCCTCGCACGCACGGGCTAGGGGAAACGCGCGAAACCGACATCGATTTTCTGGGGGGGGCTCCGTTTCGCTTCGATATCCACCCAACCTCCAACATATGTATGTACCGTACGTATGTTTGCATACATGTAGCGTAATGTAATGCAATGCGATGTAGTGTAGTGTAGTGTCATGTAATGTAAGGCAGTTTAATGTAATGTAGTGTATTATGTATGTCTGTATGTATGTATACCTATACGACCTCCCTGCGGGCGATAAGGAGGTTGGGGGGGATTGAAATCAAATGCCCGCCCTGATTGATTGGACAAGATGGATTGGATAAGATAAGCTGGCTAGGATAAAACAGCCCGCAACAGGCGCCGACAAAAATGAATTGATGGATTGGGTTGGGTGGATTGGATTGGATGGGTTAAGATGGATAGGGTAAGATAATATGGGTCGGATTGGAAAACATGGATCGGATAAGAACAGATGGATTGCATTGGCCCGCCCAGGCGCAGAAACAAATGAATTGAAGGATTTGGTTGGGTGGATTGGATTGGGTGGAGTAAGATGAGATGGAACAGTATGGTTTAGATAGGATAAGATAATCTGTATGTATCAAACGAGATGGATTGGATAATTTAAGCTGGATTGGATAAGAAACTCCGCCGCAGGCGCCGCAAAAAATGAATTATGGAATAAGCGACATGCGTTAGCGCCGGGACGCCCGGGACATCCAGGACACCGCCCAGCCCAACTGGGACACCTCCCAGCCGCCGGCGGACGGGAAACGGACTTTCGCTCCTACTGACACCCGGGCCACGCGGGACACCGCCCAGCCCAATTGGGACACCCCTAGCCACCGGCGGACGGGAACGGACTTTCGCTCCTACTTCGGCCTAGCTACAGGAGGATCACGCACAGCCTTGCCTCGCCCGCACGCGCGACACGAACACGAAACCGAAACCGATTTCCTGGTGGGGGGTTTCCCTTTCACTGCGATGTCACCCCCCAACCTCCGATATGTATGTATGTAATGTAACAGGATGTTAGGTAATGTAATGTAATGTAGTGTCATGTAATGTAGTGTATTACAGTGTAATGTAAATGCATATAAGCTATTGCAATGTAGTGTTGTGTAGTGTAATGTAATGTAATGTGCTGTATTGTATTGTAATGATTTGTAATACAATGTAATGTAATGTAATGTAATGTAATGTAATGTAATGGAATGTAATGTAATGTACTGTATTGTAGTGTACTGTAATGTAATGTAATGTAGTGTAATGTAATGTAATGTAATGTAATGTAATGTAATGTAATGTAATGTAATGTAATGTAATGTAAAGTATTGTAATATGATATAATGTAATGTAAGGGACTATGTATGTATGTACGTATGCATGCATGTATGTATGCATGCATGCATGTATGTATGTATGTATGTCTATATATACAAGACTGAATTGGCGCCTCACACCATGCACTGCTGTCCTCGATATTTGCCATGTAGGCATGAGGTCAGTTCGGTAAAACGGACCATTTAACGATAATTCGTTGTTGCCTTTTCTGGCATCGTCGTTGTCATAATTTTTGTCTTGATCCTTCACTCATGCTTCTTTTTCCTCTTCTTCTTCCTCCTCATTCGTGCCCTACCCTTCGAATGCTTCCCCATCCGTAGCTCTTTTTGCGGAGGCTCATCCTAGGAGAGCCTCTTGAGGGCTTCACGAATTTGTTTAAGGGCTTGTTGGGGCCTTCTGGAGGCCTCCTGGGTTCTTTCTGGGGGCATCTTGGGGCTCTCCTGGGCCACCCTGCTTCCAGTCGCGGTTTCCGTGGACGACCACGTCAAGATTTGGAAAGATTTGGGGGTCGTCTTGGGGCCATTGGGGCTCTCTTCGCGCTGTGGGAAAACGCTCCGCGGCGCCCGCCGTTTTTTTTCATGCGCCCAAGGAAGGGCCTATTGGGTCAATTTGAAAAAGTGGGCTTCGTTGAGCGGGTGTTCTGGGGAATATTGCACCTTAAATTTTAAGGCATCTTGAGCATAACTGAAGTGTCAGATGGTGCATTCGAAAGCCCCAGGCGCTCAAGAGGTGCGTTGATGAACTTGTCGCCACCTCCCCGCCTCCCCCTCAAACGGGATTCTGGATTCGGGGGAGGGGAACCAGGAGGAGGCAGACAGACACAAAGAAGCCGCGCCCAAACGGCGCATTGGCAAAGAAGAGTAGCACATGCGCGTGGAAGCAAGATGTGCTACCGCAGCGCCTTGGATTTTCCACGCCGGCTGCTTTGTTCCAGCGTGGTGCGAGGGAGAACTGCGCAGCTACCGCGGACATCCCGTTGCAAAGGAGGCCAAGGAGGAGGAGGAGGAGGAGGAGAGGAGGAGGAAGGGACATCCAAAATTCCCCCACGCCTGTTCATCACTGGCAAACAGGGATCGGCGGATTGTCTTGGTGCCAGCCTCCATGGGCCTGTTACTGGACGTTGCAACTTGCATGCGTGTTGGCACGAGAGCTGTATCATGGTAGCCGGGAACCGCATGATGAATCCTGGGGTCGGAGTGCCTGTCTGAGTGGCCCTCGTGAGGAAACACAATCGTTGTTTTCAGGCTGTGAGCGGCTAGCCCAATGTGATCTTGGAAGGGCGGACAGTTCGGTATTCGACATCCACGGAGATGGGAAGGAGCCTCTCTCGGGTGCAACATATTTTCCCAGTGATCGAGATTGTGTTTGAAGCCTTGCCGAACGTGCTTTGTGCTTCTGCCATCGCGTGATGACAAATTCGGTTTGAACATTCCTATTCGAGGCTTTGTGAGGAGAGCCTTATGTAGTTTTCAAGCTGAGATGGCTGCGCGACCAACGGTCGGTCCAGTTGATTTGGGAGTGACGATTCCTGCGATTTTGCATATTCTGTTGTTGTGCCTGTCGCTGGCGCCTGTGTGATGATAGCTGAACCGCATTGGCAAGTATTTGGTCTGCTTCGGCCGCACATCGTGATGGCGGCATGTCTGGACTAAGAAGCACATGAGGACGGGAATGGGGATGACGTCGAAGATGGCGAACAGGGAAATTAGGAGGAGAGGGAGGATGGGAAGGCGGAGTGGAAGAGAGGACGACAATCACGAGGAGGGAGCTTGAAGAGAGGGGACGCACGGTAGAGCGCCGAGAGCTGGCGACCTCCCTTCTACTCCTCCTCCTTCCTCATCTCACCTTCTCTCTCTGCCTTCCCCCGCTGGCAAGAGGAACCCATCGAGTCATCCCGAGCAATCCTCCTCTTTCCTCCACGTCCTCAGTCTTCTTCCTCCTCTTCCTCTGCCTCCCGTCCCCCTACGTAGCCATTTTGGCTCCAGCTGCTCTAGGAGGGAGGTGTGCTGGCGCAGCACCCAGGGTCCCTGCAGCCTTCTGAAGCCATGGAGCAAGCAGATCAGAAGCAGATCAAGCAGATGGCCACATTCATGATTTCAGAGGCGAAGGAGAAGGCTTTGGACATCCAGGAAAAAGGCAAGCAAGAACTCAGCATCGAGACGCACCGTCTGGTAGCAGATGGGAAGGAGAAGGTGCTGGCATCCTACGAGAAGATGCGGAAGGAGCTTACGACGAAGCGCGCCATCGAGAAATCACTGGCGATCAATAAGCAGCGGCTTGAGAAGATCAAGCAGCGGCAGGAGGTGATGATGTCAATTTCCAACGATGCAATGGCTGCGCTCACCAAGGTGCTTGCGGACCAGTCCAAGTGTAAGGACTTCGTCACCAAGCTGATTGTGCAAGGCCTCTTGATGCTTCTCGAGAGCGAGGTCACGGTGCAGTGCCGTCAGAAGGACCTCGCCCTTGTGAAGAGCTGTACGGAACCGGCTGCCAAAAAGTACACGGAAATTGTTAAAGAGAAGAGCAATGCCGACAAGACGTGCAAACTCATCATCGACGTGCAGAATTTTCTTCCGCCCGAAGAACGGGACAAGGAGGGCAAGTCTTGCTTAGGCGGCGTCGTGCTCTCCTGCTTCGGCGGCAAGATCACTGTTGACAACACAATCGACGCTCGGTTGAAGCTGGTGATGGAGCAGGACAAACCAGAGATCCGTAAGAAGCTGTTCGTATGAGTCGAGCACCTGAGGTTCAAAGAGCTCTATGGCACTGCGTGAGGGCAGCGGGACCGGAGGAGGCTGGAGGAGGACCTCCCCCCAGCCCGTGTGCGCACCTCGCCGCCAGCTGGTGCCCTAGCGGCAGTCTGTGTCCAGGGCCCCAGAAACCAGGACATTGCAAACAGGGACTTGAGAGTGTTTCGACCCACGGTTGCTGTTCTCTCTAGCGTGCCGACATCCTGGTGTATTGAAGTCCCTGTTTACGGGGCCCTGATGCGTACGAAGGAAAGGTGCCCCGAGGGAAACGGGTCCTAGACCTGGGCCTGTCCCAAGGACCAGTTCTGCATTCCGAGCTGTCTCTTGACGGTCCCAGCGCTGGAGAGGCCCCAGGGGGGCCGACACTGGCGCAGCACATGCAGGATCTTTCCGTTCATGCGTAGTGCAGGCCGAGGCAGGCTCGTAGTTTCTGTGCCAGGCTGTGCCGAGGTCTCTTCGCGTCCGAGGACTCACGGCTCTCCAGGCTGAGTCCAGGCTGAGGAGGAGGAGGAGGAGGAGGAGGAGGAGCAGCGTAAACCCAAGAGCCATCAACGATGTTGGGATACACCCTCCCTCCACGCTCCCCCTTCATAGGCCCCTAGAACGGTGCATTTCCATTGAGGGATCTGCCTCATTCGAAGACAACCGTTTGAAGACCCGGAAGCATGCCCAAACATTGTTCTCGGGATTCCAACGCCACGGATCAACCTGACTGTGGCGTCTTGATGATCCTGGATCATGCCAGAACGCCAGTTTTGGGATTTCAACACCGCGAATCAACGTGATCGTTTCGCTCGCAAAATCCAGAATCCTTCCAAAACATCATTTCTGGTTCGTTGATCGTGGGAATCCGTGAAACTCTTCCCAATGTATGAACGAATGTACGCGGCGCTAAGGCGATAGCCACATTATGAAAAGGAACCGTCCTCAATCCATGAGGCTCTTGTATTTTTCAAACGAATGTGCGCGGCGCTAAGGCGAGAGCCACATTTTTAAAACGGGTTATCCTCAATCCGTGAAGCTCTTGCAATGTTTAAAATAATGTGCGCGGCGCTAAGGCGAGAGCCACATGTTGTTAAAACGGGTTATCCTCAAGCCGTGAAGCTCTTGCAAATGTTTGGAAGGAGTGTGCGCGGCGCTAAGGCGAGAGCCACATTTTGAAAAGGAGCCGCCCTCAATCCGTGAAGCTCTTGCATTTTTTTAGAACGAATGTGCGCGGCGCTTAGGCGAGAGCCACATTTGGAAAACGGGCTATCCTCAAGTCGTGAGACTTTTGCAAATGTGTAATACTAACGTGCGCTGCGCTGGGCGAGAGCCACATTTTGAAAAGGAGCCGCCCTCAATCCGTGAATCTCTTGCATTTTTTAGAACGAATGTGCGCGGCGCTAAGGCGAGAACCACATTCTGAAAACCACCCGCCCTCCACATGTGAAATTGTTGTCAATTTTACACTTCAGAGTCATATCTGGTGAGGAAGTTTCAGGCGAAACGCCTGGCCCGCCCTAATAACTGGCCTTGGGGTGTGACAGAGAGAAGTTGTTTAGAAGGAAAAGGAATGGAGGAGGACGAGGATGAGGAGGAGGAGGAAGAGGAGGAGGAGGATGAAGAGGAGGAGGAGGAGGAGGAGGAGGAGGAGAGCTCGAGGAGGAGGAGGCGGAGGAGGAACAGGAGGAGGATGAGGAGGAGGAGGCGGAGGAGGAGGAGGAGGAGGAGGATGAGGAGGAGGAGGAGGGCGAGGAGGAGGAGGATGAGGAGGAGGTGGAGGATGAGGAGAGGAGGAGGAGGAGGAGGAGAGGAGGAGAGGAGGGGAGGAGGAGGAGGAGATGATGAGAGGAGAGGAGGAGGACGAGGAGGAGGAGGAGGAGGGGGAGGAGGAGGAAGGAGGAGAGGAGGAAAAGGATGACGTGGAGGAGGAGGAGGAGAGGAGGAGGAGGAGGAGGAGGAGGAGGAGGAGGAGGAGGATGGAGGGAGGAGGAGGAGGAGGAGGAGGAGGAGGAGGAGGAGGAGGAGGAGGAGGAGGAGGAGGAGAAGAAGGGATGGCGAAATGTGAGTACGGAGTGATGAAGCTTGAGCAGCAGGGGGTATGAGGGATACGCCTCTTCCAAGCAGCGGGCATCCACGCACGACTGGCCCATGGATTTGAGGATGGCCTGGTGCGGTTTCACCATTGAAGAGAAGGTGCTTCAGTCTGAGAGGAAGCGTGGAAGAAGTAGCGGGAGGAAACTTGGGAGGGGGAGCGTGACAAGGAGGAAAACGCAAGGGAAATGGAGTATGTAGAGTGGCCTCCGGCCCATCCTGCCACTGCGCCAGGGTCATGGACAAGAGGCTTCTTGGGGGGACCTTGGATGTCCTTTGGGTGACGAGGAGGGAGACGCTCGGGGATGGAATTCATGGAGGGGTGCCATTGCTCCTGCATGGGCGAAACAGTAAGCGGCTCTCCTCCGTATTTCACCGGTCGTTCGTTTATTGGTTTTAGGATGAGTTTTTTTTGTTTGTTTCCTGGGCCTGTGAAGTTCTGGAGGCTTCTGGGTCCACTGCAGACTGCCAGAGGCATGTGAGGCCAGCCCAGACTCGTCGGTCGCCAACCCTCTTCGTCAGGCGTTGAAGAAAAAACATTGTTCTCTCGTGGGCCCACTGTAAACGAGGTGCAAGGAGAAGCTGCGAACGCTATATCCGACGCTGTCTTTGCTCAATGCAGCGCTGTCCTGTATGCCAGGTGCACGCGACTCTGTGCGCCTCTATTGGAATCGTCGCAACGGACAAAGGCCACGTCCTTCTATGGTCCATCTCCCACGGTTCCTCTTTTACCTACCCTTTCGCTTGCTATCAAGGGATGTATACCTCGATACGCCGCCGACGTTATCTTAAGAAGCGGATTTTCAGCCTATCACGTCATGGTCAAGCCCTGCACCCTTACTTTTCACTTGGTGGCGGAGCTGGCTACATTATCATGTGGCTGGCTCGTAAATCAGGTGTTATGTGCATAGCAACTTACCACGGCACAGTGGAGTACCCGACTGCGCCAGCTCTCAGCCATGATACTCCCAGTGCTCTCGATCCAATTATTGACCTACAGTCCTATACCTCCATCTCCTCACCGCGTGGCCACACGCCGCGCACAACCCAACCGCCGACACCTATCCTCAAACTGACGGCTACGTCAGACCAGGCTCCTAGCCGTAACCCAACGGACGCGACAATATCCAACGAGGAACAACTTAACATCATCAGCTACCTAGTGAACATGCACTATGTTGAGGTCGCCATCATTAGAACTATCTGGGTATGCATGGGCTTTGCCGTGGCATGCGTGCGAGGCGGACTGGATGAAACACCCGCTCGAGGTCCCTTCTGGGGCCCCGCAGGTCACGCACCCTTTCGTGATTTTGCTCGCGAAGCACACGCATGGCTCAACGTCGCAAGCGGAAGCATGCCTCCACCTCAAGAGGGCGCTGTCAAGCATTGCGGTCCGGGAGGATTTGCTAGGGCACTAGCCATGAGGGTGCCGTCTACCATCATCAACGATGGCGTTCCATCGCAGGGGAAACGCTCCGATGGAGTCACATGCGTCGTGTACTTGCTGAGTGCCAAATTCGAAAACCTTGAGGACGAGCGACAGCTCACCTCGGGGACAGCCCTCATCGACGTCAGGGTCGATAGAGGTGAACGCGTTGCTTCGGTGCTGGCCCGATTCGACATGGCCGGGCTAGAAGCAGATCCAGCAGGCTTCAACACCCCCAGTTTCAATATCCTTACCCTGATCCTATTTCGCACCCTGGGAGTTGGTATACCCGAGCGGCGCAACTATTGCAGCCGCTGAACCATCAGATGCCCCGTGCACAACAGCATTGCGACCAACTCCTGGATCGAATGCGCAGCTATGGAAGCTTGTCTGAGCGTTCCCCAGGCAACATCGGGGACATCTTCAGTGGACGCAGCGCTGGCACATACCGCGCCGAAGTAGGTGATGCAGTGGCAGCCATGCCGAAGAGCATCGGGAATGATGGGGAGCCCACTGCGTCCACTGCGCTTCTAGGTCAAGACGCCAATAGCACCGGCGAGGCGTCTTGCTCAAGTGTGGGCTGGCCGTCAGCGGCCAGCTACACGCCGCCTGAGGCGACTGCCCTTCAGGGGCTCGCCCAACCGCCAGGACGACGATGTATTTGATTCCGGCGCGGACAGCGATGCGGTCTCCTCTACAAGCGCCGAGAACCTCGATTTGTCAGACCTACCCGCCGGTGATGATGCAGCTGCGCGTTATCTATGCGTAGGATATCATCGCGCAAAAAGAGAGTGGAGACGACATATGGAGAAACCAGCTAGGAGGTTGAGGCGAGATGTACGCCGTTTCTTTTTTCGTAAAGGAAGGATCGTGGCAAGGGTGGTAGACGTGCCCGCAGGTTACGTGGCAAAGGCATGGCCGCCCTCCTGGCTCGATGCACCGACTGCGACTTCGAAGAATTGTTCATAGGAGGTAAAAGCAGGAGCAAGTGTCGTAGGCGCGCCACTGGGAAGGGCAAGGAGCGCAGACTCAATCCAATAGGTAAGAACGGAAAACGAATGGCATGCAACACCTGCGGGAGCGATGAACCCTTCCAAGCGGAGTGTTCCAGGGGAAATGGACAGGGGGGCGGGTCCGTATTCCTTGGCTCAGACGAGTCCGAAGTGGACATCGTCGAATACGTTAACATTTCCCTAGATCACCCCCTTGCCTTTCGAACCAGTTCGTCTTGGTTTTTGGTGGCCCTCCTTGACGACGCCATGTCTGTCGAGCTGTGCGCGGAGTGCCTCCGCGACGGAGTCCAGGATCTCTACGACGCCCCCATCGAGGATTTGGTCGACGCGCGGTGGCGCGGACGCGCGCGGGGAGTGTCGGAATATGATGACGAGGGCGACTGCGCGTCAGATGCGGAAGCCATGCCTGCCGCAGACGCTGAAATAGCCGAAGAGCTCGGACGCGAGCAGCATCGCCCCCGCCCGCTCCCCGCCCCAACAGTATCTGGACTCGCGGAGGAGGGGGTCGGGCCGCGGTCGACTGGGGCCGGACCTGCGCCAGCGCGTTCATGATGCAGGGCAAACCTGGTAAGGCCCAATCGGCTTTGGCGAACCTTGCAAAGGTTACAGAGGGGTCGGTCGCCGGGGCCGTAGCTCTACGGCCCACCATGCAGCAGTCGGTTCAGGTAAGGTTGGGAAGTGCAGCCCAGACACGGGCGGTCCTGGCCGCGGGCGCAGCCATTCTCGAGGCGCTGGCCATTCCAAGGGTAGAGGCTACGCCGATCCAGCCGAGCTTTCGCGCGGCTCGAGCTCCAGTGACAGAGGATGGGGAAAAGGGGTGTGCCCTCTCACGGAAGGGGTGCACCTTTCTCGCCCGAGAGCCAGGGCTTCTGCATGGAGATCGACGATGCTGACGTGACTTATTTGCTCGAGCAGGGCTTCACCGAGGCCCATATTCGTCATGGGTGGTCTTTGAAGCATTGTATTACTTTGACGAGACCGGCTGCGTCATCAAACATCGAACCGTCGTGACACACGTAGTGACGAGAAGCGAGTATTCAAGCGTCAGGTGATTAAGGGACGCAGGACGCACCGCATGTGCCCATGTCTTCCACGCAGTCAGCTCCGTGGAAGGTGCCCGATTTATCGTCCATAACGTAGCCTGCATTATGGCGTGGCTTGGTGGTATCCCGACCACGGTGGCGGCCTAGGCAGTAGGGGGGCCGCGTCCGTTGCAGACTATGTCTCTTTGGCCGACGCCGAAGTACAAGAGACAGAAGATGCATGTGATGCCCTGCCAGATGATCGCATTGCGGAGGTATACCGTTCGGACTGGAATTATAAATGCGAGCCTGATGAAGACGCTGAGGACAGTGATGGCAGCGCTCTTCCCCGTCATCGTGACCTGAACGCGACGGGGCAGGTCGTTGGCAGTTCACGGGCCGCGCCTCCTGCGCCCCCTCCTGGATCGATTCAAGCAGATGACGATTGGGCAGGCGTGGGGGAGGGGGGGAGGGGCGGCCCCTTGCGCCGACCTCGACTGCGGGTTCGCTGGGCGGACGCCGCCAGGATGCCCAGGAATATGTGCCCCCCGCGAAAAAGCTACTTCCCGGACGATATGTGGGTCTGGATGAATCTCCTGAGTTCGAAGACGAAGACAGAAACAAAAATAAGGGCCAGAATAAGCGCGCCTCTTCCGAGCGCGGCGGCGGCGTCAAGCAGAGAGCTGAACGGTTCAAAGGCAGCTCGACGCCCGTAGAGAGACTTGCCGCCGAAGGTCAAGGGGGAACGAAGCCAGGTCTTTGGCAGTTTGCCGCGACCTTTACCTGTGGGCAAGTTGCCTCAGCCGAAGCCGGAAGGCCTCCAAGTGGAACCCTTCCGGCCTGAAGGTAAGAACAAGGCAGTGAAGCTGGTCAGTGCTGCGCAGACTAAATTGCAGAGTGGACCGCAAGAAGCTATGCGAAGGAAGCTTCGCGCCGTGGCCCCTATGACTCTTCGGGGGGAAAAGAAGCCAGGGTTGGAATTCCCAATGCAGAGGCAGCGGTGCGAATGCTGGCCTGCACCGGTCTAAAAGGATATGACTGCTATGTCTGCGTGATGGTCGCGCGCGTGCAGACGCAAGCTATTCCGTAACAATCAGTGCTGCTCTCGCTTCATGAGGAATTGCCAGTGACGGGCCTTTTGCCATGGATGGATGGATAGGTTGACGGTGCTTTGGTTTATATTTGGTGGCAGTCGTCGTGGTTGACAGACGGTCGCGCGCTGGATGATAGGCCCACCGTCCGGATATGTAGCCTGGCTACTGATGCTTATCGCCGAGGTGACCGGCTACGTCGCCGCTCCGAAAGTTCTGTGGATTTTCTGAGTTGGACCCGATGGCATTGCGTGCTCGCCTACGTTGCGCCCTCCCCGGCAGCGGTTCCGACGGGGTTGAGGGGCAGGATGTGTTGAACCCCCTCCCCCCTAGAAGCCTGGCAAGATAGCCCTCTTGCGTGGTCTCGGCGGGATCCTGGGCGAGAAGTTACCCGTTTTAATTATATAGTTAGTCCAGCCAACCATAGGTCCTATCCATGCAGGGTCCGGATGATTCCCGCGGTGGGACCCAATCCCGTCAATGTATGACGTGTTCGGGTCGTCTCGAGGTCATCTTGAAATCAT